GGTGGTGGAGAATGTGAAGGAGGGGGAGGGGACTTGTAGACATGTGGAGGAGGTGACTTGAGGACATGTGAAGGTGGTGGAGAATATGAAGGAGGGGAGGGGACTTGACATGCGGAGGAGGAGGAGGTGATGGAGATGGTGGTGGAGAGACTTAGGGACATTTGAGGGGGTGGTGGAGAATGTGAAGGAAGGGGAGGAGACTTGTAGACACGTGGAGGAGGAGGTGACTTGGGGACATGTGGGGGTGGTGGAGAATGTGAAGGAGGGGGAGGAGACTTGTAGGCACGTGGAGGAGGAGGTGATAGAGATGGTGGTGGAGGAGACTTAGGGACATATGGGGGTGGTGGAGAATGTGAAGGATGGGGAGGAGACTTGTAGACATGTGGAGGAGGAGGTGACTTGGGGATATGTGAGGGTGGTGGAGAATATGAAGGAGGAGGAGGGGACTTGACATGCGGAGGAGGAGGTGATGGAGATGGTGGTGGAGGAGACTTAGGGACATATGGGGGTGGTGGAGAATGTGAAGGAAGGGGAGGAGACTTGTAGACACGTGGAGGAGGAGGTGACTTGGGACATGTGAGGGTGGTGGAGAATATGAAGGAGGAGGAGGGGACTTGACATGCGGAGGAGGAGGTGATGGAGATGGTGGTGGAGGAGACTTAGGGACATGTGGGGGTGGTGGAGAATGTGAAGGAAGGGGAGGAGACTTGTAGACACGTGGAGGAGGAGGTGACTTAGGGACATGTGGGGGTGGTGGAGAATATGAAGGAGGAGGAGGGGACTTGACATGCGGAGGAGGAGGTGATGGAGATGGTAGTGGAGGAGACTTAGGGATATGTGGGGGTAGTGGAGAATGCGAAGGAGAAGGAGGAGGGGCCTTGTAAACACGGGGTGAAGGAGGAGGTAATGGTGATGGCAGGGGAGGTGACTTTGGGATATGTGGGGGTAAGGACAGAGGGGGTGGTGACTTATGAATATACGAAGGTGGTGGTAGTGATGGAAGAGGAGGTGACTTATGAGAAGATGGTGGGTGGGGGCGGGGCTTGGGGTTTGGGTGGGGGTGTGGTTTTTGATGAGAGGGTGGATGGTTGTCGCGATGTGGTGGAGCACGGTTGTGGTGGTAGGGTGGTTGTTTGTCGTCAGCACTAACACTGATAGCAACTAGGGAAATGGTCGCTGCCAATATGAGTAGAGGCCACTGCCTCGGCCCTTTCCTGGTTCCCATCTTCTTTTGCCTTTCTCCAATTCTCTATGCTTGCTTCCCACAATGTGGATTCCAACCCTTTATATAGTTGAAGCCCTGCACCACGTCTGATTAGATTTCTTAGCTGAAGGCATTGACAGCCTGGAATCTTCATGAATTAATGCTACAAATTACGGTTTCTTGTTTTTGGGTCCAGAAACAATTCACACTTGAACTTGAGATCCAAGTCTCCCATTCATTTGATAGTTCCCACAATATAGGCTAAAGATCCAAGTCAAAAGAGAGAGTGGGTGAGGACATGGCTGAATGAGAACTTGATGGATATGTTAAATTATTGCAGAAGCGTGTCTGAGCAGTTAGTTTTGATATTTTTCTTCGCATTTTAGACACCACAGGTGACCGTGGGAAATTTTAGAAGTGTGGCATACAGATATACAACGTCGACCTGTACGCAAGTGTTTCTTCATTTTTTAGTAGTATATGGTTTCTTTGGATGGTAACACTAAATCTTAGCACAACGTTGTTGGCGAATGAACTGCCTCAGCTTACCAGACGTCTCTGCATATACTTATTGAAGTAAATTATCCATTATTAAAAGACCGTTCCTCTATTTTGCTGATGTCCATTAGCTAATGAGCATTAATTTGATGGCGTTCGTCATAAAATTGTCTCTTGCATTGCAATTTACTGTTCCTATGATAATAGCGAGCGTTAATTGATCTGTTGTAACATCTTTCCACATGCAGTCATAATATATAATGTAGTGTGTGTGTGTACTGAATCAATTGTTTAATTATTACCATAAAGCATATTCGGAGTCGGTGCACCAACCTTCAATTTTGTAGAGCTTACCGTAATGTTCTAACATGTTACCCTCGCTGACTTCCCTTCAGTTAGATCCCGCCCCAGAAAACAAGGGCAAAAATGAACCCTTTGCTTCCACATGTCTTCTACTTTCTCGGCTACAACGGGGCTCGTTCCATATGATAACTGAGAAGGAAGTACCATTGGTGCAGACAGTAAAGCAATTATTAATATTGATCAAGGCAGGAACGTACCATAGTCTGCGGATTAACATTTTGTGGGGGCAAAAAAGACTGAATTAGTGCTTTTGGTATAACAGCTTTTTTATTGCGGATACGTCTTCCTTCCTGTGATTCGGTCTAAAATACAGAATTACTAGGCTATGATAAGAAAATCAAAGGGAATTCTATGACGTTTATAGCTTCAAAAGCTCCCCTGCAGTTCTAAAATTCTATATCAGAACTCCCATCATTGTGTTCTTACAAAAAAAAGCCTGCGGTTGGTTATAGATATCTGAGCTCACATGTGAAAGGGGTTCGTCTTATCTATGATAGTGAGATTAAAAACCGAAGTCTTCATATATAGGCACATTTATGTCTATATATATTGAAACATATTTCAGGCGGTGATCTTTCATTTTAATGTTCCTTCATAAATTTTTGTTTAGGGGCATCTTTAAGTGTAGGTTTGCTGACTTACATCATATTGTACAACGTCCAGTTTAATGCAGGTTATAATAATTTTAAGTGAGAGTTTTTTCTTTGCACATTTCCCTCCTCTCAAAACAGAAAAATTGCTGGAGGAAAGAACGAAAGTTCAAATATTTGTAGAAAACACAGCTCACGCAGGAGCAACTGAAAGGTGATTTACAGGGACATTTTTGCTTTCAACCTCTGGGTGATGAATTATGTAGTCGGCAATTTTATGACTTGTGATGAACTTTTATTCGGGGATCTCTTCATGCACATATTTCCAGAATGAATCACCTTCTCCACCTATACAAACGTGGCAAACACAACAATAATGCATTATTTAAACTTCCCAAAACTTGGCCTAAAAGTCAACTTTATTCCACGCCATGTATGTGATTTTATTGTTATTCCTTTCTTATTTATAACGCCAACAAACCCAGATAAACCAATTCATATATCCATATATAATGTAAAAAATTTAATCATTTGTACTGTTTGTACACCATAAATAATTCATTTTATTTTTCAAAATATATACTTTTCCGTCTTTAATATAAGACCTATTTAACTAATTTGATTAGATTATGGAAGTTAGGTAAGTTAGTTAATTATAAGAAATATGACATGTTTTTTTTAAAACATTATAATTATCTTCCTTAACATCCTTTCTCTCTCTTCTACTTGATTATGGTTGAAGGAGTATCCATTGGGGTAATTTAGGAAAAACTAACAAATATGAGAAATAGATCTTACATTTAGGATCAAAATCAACTCTGCAATTAGATCCTATATCTAGGAACGGAAGAGTATAATATATGACCAATTTTGGATTATTTATTAAATTAATACAACTCCAATTCCAATGTTCAATATAAGTTGATATCTTGGCGATGTGGCAAAGTTACGATCATTTCATTAAAATAATAAATAAGTACTATCGCATGTTTTCTTGAGATCCAATTATGGCAGCAATCAATTTTGGATGAGCACTCTAGGTTCATCAGATCTGAATTATCTATATCTCATTTGAATGATATGGATTTAATTTCTTTTTTATTTTTATTTATTCAAAATAATTATTTTAATGCATATACGATTTAAAATAGAGATAATCTCTTAATTATTATTCTTTCAAAAGATAATTTTTTCTATTTAAAAATAATTAATTAAAGATTTTAAATCTGGACTGCTTAAATCAGACAATGATAGTTTAGATCTGATGAGCTTATGATATTTAAAATGATGAGCACTGAAACTGGTTCCATTATGACATCTATAGTACTTACAGTTGAAACTTATGGACTGATTTGATTGGTAAAAGTTACTCAGATTTTTAACATATGAACTAAATAAGAAGTTTACTTTAATTCTAAATATAAATTTTTAATTTATTTTATCTTTCAAATTTATAATTTTCTCCTAAAATGTCACTATTAATTGCATATGTACAGAAATTTATTAATGAATTATTCCAAAAATAATAATTAATAATGGTGTTTTAAGAAAGCCAACACCGATTATATTTATTACAAATAATTAACTTAATTAATTTTTTTTAATACTCTCAAATTAATTATTTAACTTTTATATGAAAAACAAAAGATTCTTATGTAAATTAAAAAAATACCACAGAAGGTAACTATTTAATATTTATCATTTAAGGGTGTTTGGGTTATGCTAAAAGTGCTTTTCAAAAACACTTTTTTATAAATTGAAACAAACTCCTTCACGTATTTAATTCATATATCGTAAACCATGATTTTGCTTTTATCCAAACTTCCCCTTAATCGTTGACATTATCACTGCTATCACATCATTAAATAAGAGACTTAATGATAGTATTTTTGGCATCTGAGATCAAGATTTGAAAGGATAAACATGAGTTGTGCGCAAGTCTTAAATGGAGATTGCTTTTGGAGTCAGATAGCGTCTGCACAATGAGATCATTCGTATCTTTTAAGACAACAATCATCAAAGATGCGTTTTAGTGTGCGCAGTCCCTCTCTAATTCTGCATTAATTTTGATTCTTCAGCTTGATCCCCCCGGTATAAACTAACTTGTGATCATAAATTACATGACTTTTTACACGATTTTGAATTTAACTGTCTTTAAGCATATAACAACATTAGCTTATACATGCCTTCCACATATGATGATTTTCTTTTTTTCTTTTTGGACCAAACACATGATGATTTTCAGTTTTTTCATTATCACTACGTTCATACATCCCCTTTAGGATTGAGTATGATAACTTAGCCTTCAAGGAAGCTACAGACCTAATTTTAGCACAACAAATTTCCGTTAAAATAGCCTGAAGTTGTGGCAACATGTCGAGTTGACATATGCAGGTGAAACGAAGGCACGCTATAAAAATACGATAACAAATCCAGCCTCTCCAACACAACTATCATGCATGTTCATAGACCCATTTTTTATTCTCTCCCCCCACCCCCTAGAGCTAACCCACGTTAAAGCTCTCATGTGCACGCAGTAGATTCTAGAAACCCCACGAGATAATACCTGACAGGAAAAAGAAACCAAATAATTTTGTTTCCACCTAGATACCCAAAGGGAAACACGAATGGGTGCAGATCTCTTGCATTCACTGGCTGGTGATCATTTGCGTTTTGATGTATCAGCAAACACCTCCGTGTAACATATAGGGCAAGCCTTTAATAGAAAAGAAGCAAAAACAAGCAAGAAGATAAAAAGGTCAGCTATTTCAGCGGATAGCAATTGAGTACTGCCAGAATGGGGTGAGTTCTTGACAAGTATGAACTCCTTGGTCTTACCTTGTTGATGCTAAGCCATGTTGTTGCACACGCAGCATGATAGACATGTTTGCATGGTAAGGTGATCCGTTTTTCCCCTCTCCTATATTCCATTTGGCAAATCACACATCTGAAGCAGAAGATAAATCAGATCAACAAATTAAATAAACAAGAGACTTCTAGATACTTTAGCTGAGGAATAAATCCGTTTTTCCCCTCAGACACATATATAATAGACGTGAGAAGGAATAATGGAACTGCTCTAAATCATACCACAAGCATATATCCTAAGGGTTCAAGTGTCATACTTGGTCTTTTTGCTGCCTACTTGAGTGAGGAGTGTGTGTGTGTGGGCATGTGGGAATTGAAATGCAGAACTTATATTACAACAAACAGATCAGTACAAAATTTCATCAGTCGAACAAAGCAGATCTTTCATCACCCAACATCTCGCTCTAGTTTGATGTAAGATGATCAAAGATGCAAAAGTTGCTATCTGTATTCCCAGCTAATAAGAAGAATTTGTCCTGCAGATTTCCTTCATACTCCACTTTATTCTTTAACTTGTAATCCACACACGCTATGGAACCAAATATTTCAGAAAAGCTAGCAAGACGTAAATTCAGTGACTAAAGATAAACTCCTAAAGCAGAATTTTTAATCCTGGCAAATAGCTCAAAGCACCAGGACAAATTAAATTGCTTAAAAACAATTAGCATGCAGCAAAGAAGTATTGATCTTCAAAAATTAGAAGCAAAAAATTGGTAGATCCAGGAAGAAAATATTGATACAAAAAAAAAATTGAAATGAAATTAGAAGAAAAATAGCACTAGAGAGGGAAAAGTGCAAACCTAACATTACCTCTCATCCCGTGATTTTTTGCGTGAAAAAATCCCACACTTGTACTTTGAAACTGGAAGCAAAGAGATCTGTTCTTGGGAGAGACCACGGTTTTGACTTCCAACAGCCTCCCCTAACTCAAGTAATTCCTGAAAAGGTAATATTTTCTATGTAAGAAGAAATGTAAAGAAATAAGCACGGCCTAAATAGTCAAAAGTCCTGTTACTGTTAGGAAACTTTCCAATGCAAATGTTTCTTAATCAACCGTTCTACTTAATGCAATCAAGAGATGTCTATTAGATGAAGCATCATGGATTTTACAGTTGCAATTTAGCTAGTAAGGAGATATAATAAGAATATCAGATTGTTTGTGAAGTGATTTGGCCAAACAATGTTGTCCTCAAGAGTAATTGCCTCTATGGGGCACAATGGTAAATACAAGAGGGTATGGTTTTCTACTGTAGAGGAGCACAACTCAACAACCAAAGTAATAGTAATTAAGTAGTCACAAAAGTAGGCTTATATGAGTAAATAGTTTATATTGCAAGACTAATTATGTGCATTTCTAGAACATTGACTTTATACTCCGAAAAAAACAGGCATGTAACAGCTCTAATTTGAGGAAGAGAAATATAAAGACTTGTAACACGAAGAATTTTTAGCCACCCATTCCAACCTCATAGGACATGTTGTCAAGATCAATATTGTCTTGCCAAGTGACCTGCAAAGTTTTGAAAAACTCCTCAGATCATCTTGTATACTGCTTCTTAAATATTCAATGCAGTTAATAATTTTATAAACCAAGACTTCAGACGAAATACCTGATAGTCATGGGAACGATGATGTCTTCTTGGACCTGGAATGAAGAAAATATGTTATTTAAGTTAAACCAAAAGCACTTATACTATATGTAGATTCAAAGTGACAAATGGCAAGGTGACAAGAAAATCTACAACAGAGGGAAAAACTCAAAAAGGTTAAGGGTCCTATAAGATTTATGATAAATAAACACTATGTTATATGGACTAACATCGCAGTTGGACTCTTCATTAATTAAAGTAATTTCAATCTTGTTTCTCTATTTCGGTAATTGAAAGGAAAAAATGTCCCAAAAAAAAATTAATTTCATCATTTCACATAGAAAACAATGAGTGCTTACAAATGTTTAGAATTTATTTCCTTTCTAGCAATGATTAGTGAAGACATACATAGTGTAGCTGAAAGAAAATCTCATTTATAAGACAGCAGAAGTTTCAATATCACAAAAAAGGTTACAAAATATAAAAGCAGAGATACTAGACTAATTGAAGTAACTTCACTTCCTCAATATGAACAAAGGCTCTGTAGTTCAGCTAGTAGGTTCAAGCAGATACTTCCATGTGCAGGAAGCCGTACTCTTAAAAATACTAATGTAGACCAATATTAGTGAACAGGATGCTTAATTCTCCTACAGCAGTTTTCAACACATTGTGATGTGCATGCAGGAATTAGGACTACAGAAACTTACTCAACACCAAGTACAGAAGAGTGAATATAAACCGCAAGTGCCATGCACTTTCTGAGGAGTGCACACTTGGTCAAAACAGAGTGAATGAACAAAACCATCTTACATTTGGTCACCCCAAACATGAATATAATTTTTTTTTTAATGCTGCTAGTGCAATGGGCTTCTGTATATCAAGAAAATCGTCTCCAAATGAAAATCAAGAACTTACATTCAACAGAATTGTCTCGAGCAGTGGTGTTCACACCTTCACCCCATTCTGCACTTTCTGCTGCAGCATGTTCACCAAATATTGATGTGTTCTCTAAAGGCCTTCTGTGCTCATCCACCCGTCGGTCATGACTATTCACCTCATAACCATCACTGTAATGATAATATGAAGTATTCTCAGGCTCAGCTAGGCCAAACTTGTAGAAACTTGTAGTTGATGGGTACAAGCTCTCCTGTGAATATTAAAGTAGATTTTTAGCACTTCATGCCTATTAACGTTTCAGGTTGCATTCCATTAATAAACATTAAGAAAAATTTCAAATACAGATAAGTATGCAGTGGACTGTCTTATTATGTATATATAAAGAAATTTAGTCAGTTTAATATGGTAAATTTGGTGAGTGAAGCAGTATATATCAAACTAAGCAAAGTCTTCCCAGCGAATCCACATAGACAAAGTGAGAAAGAAAAGAGTACAATAGTTTCCGTCAACCGGAGCACATAATTTCTCAAATAAAATCTAGTTTGTGTCTTTGTAGGCACCTGAGAATGTGAAGCACCAGAAAAAATGAAATTGACGTGTTCGTAGGTTAGACCTTCAAAATATTCAATAAAGCTTCCTGCTGTATTGTAGGGGTAACTGATATTGTTGCAGTGGACCTCCATGTGTGTGTTCCAACTCATTTTGAATTCTTTCCGTCAGACAATCACTCTGCAGCGTGAAATATACAGTCAAGTACAAGCATATGCATATTAATGCAAAGGCAATGGGGCGCAAATGCAAAAATACATAAAGGCTTCTGTTCAAACACATATTTGCATCAAATATGGGAACCTGATCCACGGATTTATAAACAAACTTCTTGCAATTCACTTAGACAACAATCAGTGTCCTATAATTGAGCTACTCCTAAAAAACTAAACCTGCATAATTTAAATTGGTACTGATATTCAGTGCATAGCATATAAACGAGAAGCCAAAGGTGTTTTGATGGTTATAAGCTTAAACTTTCAAGACTGCTTATTTTCTGCAATCTCAACTCTCAAGCATCATATCCCACCATCAAGCATGCTTAATTAATCATTCGACATCCGAATCATTAGACGCAAATTCATTCAAATCAGTCCAACAAATCCATACGAAATGTGTATTGTTTCGCTGTTCAGAAAATGTATTAATATCAAGTTGAAGTACAAATATTTAACCTTTGAAGGCAAAATAGATATTAAATGAGCTCTAGAAAAAATCAAGCGACTCCGTTACAGGTGTGACTCATCAATCGAGATTTCGCTATTCAGTGCTGTGCACTTTCCAAAGAAACAAACTAGAAAGCAGAAACCGCAGGAGTACCTTTTTGGCCCTATCACTCTCGAACGTCAAGGATTTTCCCCCCGGACTATCGGAAGAAAAATTTCAGGAGCTTTCACGACTCTATTGCAAGATCATCCGTAAGTAATATGCGTGGTTAGTTCTGAGAGTGAATGGATCGTAATCAGGAAAGTAGGAAAGACCAACAATGGTAAGCATCTAAAAATTCGGATGAGATGAAGAGCAGGAAAGCTCGATCTGATACTAAAGGTATATGGTAGGTATTAAAGTGCCGACAACGATCCCTTTGGCAGATACCTTCTCTCGCTCACACAACAGCGGATGAGGATGAGAATGAGAATGAGAGCGGCTTTCTTAAAGAATGGCTTTGTTTTGTAGCTCCTCTCTCTGCCCCATTTCTCTCTCTAGGTGTGTGTGTGTGTGGGGCTTTTCTCAGTGGTTTCAGGAACACGCCAACTTCGTTAGATAGATCATGATCAGCTGCATCGCACCTATTCTTCAACTGTTGCTGTTTTCGTTTTCCATTTTTCTTTTTTGTTAGTTCTCCGACTAGCACCTCAGAAAGAGGCAGAGAGAGACGAGAAAAAGAAAGTTTGCTCTTTTATGAAAATTATGCATGATACCTCTGCGGAATAGAAGCAGGAGTTAAACTACTTTCGTGTAATTATTTGATTTCGAGTAAATTACGAACGCTCCAATCGAAATATGAATTGAAGGTGGCAGTTGTACTCCTATTATTAAGATGATGGCAAGTAGACCCCATGAATAAGTTTACTCAACAATATTCAAGCACCGAGATTAAATGGGTTCTTACTCCTTACCGTTAATGTTTTGACAGAGAGAGAGAGAGAGATTAGATTCCCATTGGAGACAATCTTTAGTGGTTGGCCAGCGTTCAGAAATTGAATTGTGAGAGATAAGTGTGGTTAAAAGGCGGTGACCAAACAAAAAAATCCCAACTAATTTGTGACAAGCCAAGCTTCCTTTTTCAACCAATCTTTTTTAAAGAACCAAAAAAAAAACTTTTTTTAATCTAGCAAGCCCTGCAGTTCTTATTCTTGTAACTAGAAGAAGCATGCTGGTTCATGGAAATGCAACTTAAATGTGCCAAGTCATAGCCACGAAAGTATAGCCAAACAGCCCAACTCATTCCTCCAACCTCAAATTCCAGTGTTGAATTTTGATGGCAACGAAATGCAAATGTGTGTGTAGAGTTTGAGAAGATCCAGAGAATTTTAAATTAATATGTGAATGTGGGATCATGGCATGATTAGCATCTACGTGGAAGGGGCATATGAAAGAAAGCACATCAGAATCTGATGTAGTGAGAGAAGAAGAAGAAATGAAAAAGGCTGTGAACTGAAAGCGTGGCATGTGAGAGAGAGAAGAGGGATCGATAACATAGATAATTGAGGAGGCACGAGAATGAAACAAAAAGCATGGCGTGCAAGCCAAGTGAACCCCCCAGACGCATCATTATATTCTCTTCTCATCCTTTTTGTCTGCAACGCCACACAGACAAAACACACAGTTGGCCATTACTACTACCACACCCAGGCACACATGATTCTTCCTCCAACGACAACGCACTCTGCTCAACAATGGTCGCATCTTTCTACCAAAACCCATAAAGAACATTATAAAGAGAGTTCATGGACAAAAATAAAGCAGCACGCTTGTAAAAGCTTATCAAGAGAGATATTGCCACCTGTGGGGTAGTTGTCATTGCTTAATCGTGTTATTCTTGGTCAAGAAGCAATGATTAAATCTCAAATTAGGAAACTAATTATGATAGACCAAGTTAAATATGGGCCTAATCAGGATTCACCCTCTCAAGTATCTCGGCCTGCACGGGGATGTATATATGATGCCCAAGAAATAAATTTCACCACGGGAAGCTCCCCTGCCCCCCGGGGAATCATTCTTGAAGATTTTATCAGCCAAATCCAATGCGTATGAATGAATGATGGGTCTTGCCTAAAGACGAGCCTCAATAGGGCAGCATTTTCTCACTTCTTTAAAACTTGAAACAAACATTACCACCGTATGAGCGTACGATGGTTCACGGATCAATACATGATTTTATGGTCAATTTGCATGTAATTTTTATCAAAAAATCAATCAAAATCATGATCAAAGACTTTGGTTAGAGTCTAATTTATTATTACAAATCATCGTTAGTGACGCATGATTACCACATTAGCAATACGTAATCTTCAAAGACTTGATCAAAATTAATCATACTTTTATCAAGCTTTAACTAAAGTTAACTATTCAGGTAAAAAAACTAAAGTTAACTATGACCACAAAAATAATAACAAAAATTGACGATTTCCACGGTAGCTACTCTCACCAAAAACATGGATTCTGAAATCCGTGCTTTGATTTTACAAGGCGGAAAGGAAACAACTTCTCATGAGTTTCAAGGGTTCTCTGGCATACGAACGAAATTGTGGATACTATGAATTATCGAAAGAATAGATACTCCAAAAAACTCAAGTCAAGTGGTTTTCCCTATAAAACCGTGGTCTAACAGCAAGACAAATAATCAAAAGACAAAGGGAAAATAGGGAGATCTGAGAGATAAAATTGGCCAAATGCGATGGCCCTCGTGAAGATACCCTGGAACCCCCAGCACCAAAGGTGGATTCATTTGGGAACTCAGCTTGCATTAAGGCGAGATACCAACTGTGTTTTAATTGCCACTTGGTGGGGTGAGATTAACAGTTACGTGCTGTGCCTGGCATCCAAATGTAAGAACCACCAATCCACAGTGCATCACATTGTACAGTAGAATTAATTAAATTTAAGAGCAGGGCCATAGGTGTTCTTTAATCGAGACAAGTAGGAATAGTACGTAGAAACTCAGCTGCCTTCATGGGTACCACCCACTTGTTGCCGCATGAGTTCATCACCACCGAGTAGAACCTGCATTTGCCATATCCTAACAGACCTGTTCTTTTCTTCTTCCTTGGTCGGCTCACGATACTCGTGCTAAAATGAAGCGTTGGTCGGCTCACCATGAACTTTCTATTGGGCAAAAAGAAAATGAAATTGTGCATTTTTTCAATAAATAAGAATGAAAGCCAGCATTTGAGCCGGTCAAGGATATGCACCTCAAGCATTTCTCAAAAATTAAGCTGCTCTGTTTTATAAAAACTGGATACTAATTACAAATAGTGCATGTAGAATCAGAAGCATAAAACACATTAGAAGCGGGCAGAGAGTGTACATGAAGTGGTGGGTGCATACAAAATAAGGGAGATAATCACATAATTTCGGGAACACAGAAGGGATGAATAGGTGGTGTCTGGCATGAGGCTGCATAGCTGGTATGTACAGGGACATGGGCCTGGACTCTTCAATTAGGCCCAATCGCTGCCAGAGAGAGCGTCTCTAACCTCACGTTTGCTTCGCTCCAGTGACTCCTTTTTCGGGCCAACCCGTGTCGTGGAAGTTAAAACTTCAGACCAGACAACGGATTACGGATGTTCCCAGGCCGCAAGGGAAAGAGAAATGTAACCGTCAGGCTGTGGTGAGATACATATATAAAGGGCCAGCTTAGAATGGCTTATATTTGATTTACTGAGTAGGGAGTAAATATATCAGAGAAGTTTTGTTTTAACTCACATGAAACATATTGTAAACATGATGCCAAACGGGGTCAAAATGGTCCAAATATATCGTCAATTCTTGGAAGTTGGGTCCAACGTCCATGGAATGAATGAGAAGAAGATGAATCCGGGATCTGAAGAGTCGTTTAGGTTCATCTCCTTGTAGGCCATTTCAATTTGGAATCCAAAAACACAGCGGAGCTATGTTTTGTTGCCCGATCTCCCGACCACGCCATACTTTACCCGAGCGTACCTACTTTCGTTAGGTTTCGGCAGCAAGAAAAATGGTAGGTTGCCAAATTCGTCGTTCATCTTTGACCCATTCATTCCCTGTTGGCTGTTTCCATCATCACTAGAAGCGCTTCCCAATCCAGCTTTAGCTCCAATCCTTTTTTCAAAAGATATTTTACAACTTTTTACACAAAATTAGTTACTCTTGTTAAATATGTACATGATTTTTCTTTAAAGTACTCTTTCTCAATAAAATTTATTGAATTGGTCTACTCTTGCCTCTTTGCACATAATTAAGGGTTCCTAAGTAAAACAAGAAATTTATACTTTTAGATCAAGAAAGCATTCTAAACGACGTCTTTTATAAAGCAGAGCCCAGGGAGCGTGTGTGCGCTTGTGTCTGTAATAATGTTTTTAAAATTCAGTAGTGGAGGAATTTTGGACTGACGTTTTAATTTCAAACTTTATTTCAAACGTGTTTTCCTACCTACCATACAAGTCTGTGACGGCGGTAATAAAAATATGGGGCCATCTAATGTAAAAATATTCAACAAGTCGTGGTGCCAACTGCCAGTTAACATGAGTATAGAGTAAACTTAGTTTAAGTATGTGTCTAGAGGAAAATGAGTCCTTATTGCTTACGATACATGATAGATGCTCTTAATCTTTTGAAAAATATACATATATACGTCCTTGTATTAAAATATGTATTCAATAACGAGGTTATGAGGTAGAATTTTCACGTGATTTTATTTGGGTGATGGAATAAAATAATATATTGAGTAGTACTAAAGTACTGACGGGGGACAATGAGGGAGCAGAGTTCCTTTGGATGATGCATTTTGTTTTGCAGCAGATCAGAGAGAAGAATGGAGAAAGCTGGGAAAAGAAATATAGTGAGCAGCAAACATACATGTTGGATTGGAGAGGAGAGCAGAGAGATCGAAGCAATTGCTGGTTTTACAGCCCTCACTGATGTTTCCCGAGGACCCCAAATCCCCCCTTGTGCTCAACACTCCTCACCTCGCCTGCTTTGCTTTTGCTGCCCCTCCTATGAATGCCCCCACTCCCATTGTATTGTATATCTCTACACACACACACACTTCCGCCTCTCACTTTGTCCATTTCCCATTTACATATGGCTACCTCAATCACATGCACTCTTCATATATTCTGCCTTTTTTTTTGGCCAGAAATGGAATCGATTAATGTTCTTTAAGACTTTAACTCATACCCATTTGTTGCCCCGGGGAAAAAAACCACCTTTTTCCCATGCTGAAAAAAAAAAAAACCCTATCAATATAGTCTAAGTACACGCGATCGAATCGGAAATATATGCAATCCATCCATACGCATTTACTGCTTGAGATCACTACCTCACGGATCGGAGTTTCTGTATCTGCTTTTCTTTAAAAGTGAATCTAGCTATCAATTTTAAAAGGAAACGGAGACTAAAGTTCAGATTGCTGTTCATTTCATATATTAATCCTCTTAAGCCAAGTCTGCCGAGATAAGGTCGTCGTCTCAGTCTCTTCTACGTACGTACTACGCCTCATGACCGACTTTCCCTCCCCCGGTACTATATATATATATATATATATATATCCATTGTTGAGTCACGCCTCACAAGTGATTTCTTGTCTCGCTTTCTACTTTATTGTCTGTTTGCTTTACCAACATATGATTTCTCGTTCCCCACCCACATAATTTAACTCCCATCCCTCTTTCTCTTCTGCCTAACCCCGCCCCATTTCTTCTCCCCCTCCTTCTTCCTTATTATTCTCAAAATCTCATCATGACCCATCCCTCCTGCCCCAATCATTTCAATGGTTCGTTTGACCTCAATTATCCTTATTATTCCCTTCTCCCTTCTTCTTCTTCTTCGCCTTGCACCAATCAGCCTTCCTATAATTTTGTTTCTGCTCAACAACATCACTGCATTAATGGCACCTCTCATATCTCTCCTCAGTGCTACCAATCCTTGCCGTCCTCCCCTCCCGTAAGGGAGCCCCTTCCTCTTCTTAACCTTGGCCCTTCCATTCCTCAAGATCCAGAATCTTCCTGCGCCCCCATGGAAATTGACGACAAGGACAAAGATTTGCATGACGGAGCTATGACGGTGGCTTTGCACTTGGGGCTTCCAAGCTTAGATTCAGCTGATTTAGTTTCAGATGTAGAACAAGTCACCGTCGCTTCTGCGCGTCCATCGAGTGGAGTGATCAGTAGGGGTCAGTACTGGATCCCTACCCCTGCTCAGATTCTGATTGGTCCGACGCAGTTCTCGTGCCCTCTTTGTTTCAAGACATTCAACAGATACAACAACATGCAGGTTTGTCCATTCCTATATCATCATCAAAATATGAATTCTCGCAAGACAAGAAATAGAGAGATATATAATAATGCGACAGTTAAAATTGGAAAAGTAAATGAAGAAAGAAAATGCCTTTCCATCCCATCCTCAATTTTCTTGCCTACTTTCCTCTCGTATAACTTTTTATAATCTTGACGAAATAGAAAAAACCTATTTCTATAGCAAGATTTTAATATGTGGTCAAAGCTATAGTCACGGGCTTAAAATTCATGATCGCGTTGTGGCAATGGGTGCGGTGCGTGCATTTTAGGGTTTCCCCGGATATGGAATACACTGCCTTTCCTTTTCTCTTGAACTTTTTTTTTTCTTTCTTTTTTCGTCCCCTCAAAGCCGATAAACTTCAGAAGTGAACAATTTTTCTTCTGAATCTACTAGCCAGCTATGCCGCTCTTCAGTCGAAGGCACTAATATAAAAGTAGAGAGAAATATTTCATCGTACAAAAAACTGATGAGAACACACATATCAGTATATATGCTTTAATGAGTAGTGTCTCTCTCCAGTCGCCCATGGTCTTTCCCAACCATACATCTTGTTTAGCTCTTTAATGTCGTCAGGATAAATGAAAAGGATTTATCTAGTCAAACTGGGGATTTTTCAGGTTATTAGGGCTTATGCATCATATTGAGCAATAAAAACCCTGGAAATTTTACCAACAGGTGATTGAGAGAAAAGGTCGATTGAGGCAGACCCATGGAATGGATTTGTTTTCCATACTAACGCAAATGAGTACATATGACGCATACATAGTTGTCAAATATTCCCTTAATTCGTGCAACCAGATTTCCTCATGATCAGGATACCCCCCTGTCGACCTTTTCCTTTATCATGCCCACCATAGGTATATAAAGAATTTAATGTTGGAAATTTATATGTTGAAAAGGACATGGTAGCCTACACCCTAAAACCTGGTCTTCAAGAGACCAAATCTTCACGAGATTAGATGCAAAAAACACATAGGGTGAGAATTCTGTTCGTTAAACTAATAAATGATAGGATTATTAATTGAGAGACCAATATAATTGTAAGTCATTTCGGTATTAGAATTTTATTCAGTACTATCACATCGCGTAAGATAATGTTAGCCAACTGAAGTAATAATGATACCCACTTGTATGCAGATGCACATGTGGGGCCATGGATCTGAATATAGAAAGGGGCCAGAGTCTCTAAGGGGGACGCAGCCAACAGCTATGCTGAGGCTGCCTTGCTATTGTTGCGCACCAGGATGCAAGAACAACATAGACCATCCAAAGGCTAAACCACTCAAAGACTTCCGAACCCTCCAAACCCATTACAAGCGTAAGCACGGAATGAAGCCTTTCATGTGTAGAAAATGCTGCAAAGCCTTTGCCGTGAGAGGTGATTGGAGGACTCATGAGAAGAATTGCGGCAAGCTCTGGTATTGCTCTTGCGGCTCTGATTTCAAGCACAAAAGATCTCTCAAAGATCATATCAATGCCTTTGGACATGGCCACACCGATTATGGCATTGATTCTTTTGATCGAGATGATATTGAACCTGCCTCTGAAATCGAACAAGAAAATGAGCCCTTCCGCTCCTAATCAGCTACTGCTCTTATTTTTTTCCAACTGTATCTCGAGACAGTTCAGGTTTCTAATATTGGGAACTAGCCCTTCTTTTAGAGACTATTGAGATTTTTCTAATGTATGTTTAGGTATCGTGCGATTTGAATACTCTCATGTATACATGTGGGAGCAAGAAGAATTGCAGTAGTTATATATAATTCTATAGATGTTTTTCATTTTTCCTGTCGCTCGGTGGCTCGGTCTCTCTTCATCATCGCACACATACATATAATTAAGCACATATGAAGAGATGGAGATCTCGGATCCTTTAAGTAAAAGTATCATGGAACCATCATTCTCGTTAAGAATCAATAGCTATAATAAGAACTTTTTATTTAAGAAAAAAGGGCCGGGCTAATCATGGTGACAATCTAAAAGATCAATTGAATGATTATGTAATGTGCAGTGTGCAGTTTTTAATATTCTTTTTATTAAGTGCAAATACGATAATCATCTTGCAGTTGGGTACAATTAATAACGAGTCTTACAACTACGAGGCTGCGTTTATCTTCACATATGCGTACGATATGGGTCGCCGGGTTTGCCCATTTAAGTTGTGGAAAACAGTAATAACATTTTTCAAAAACTAATGTGGAACCTTTGTTTCTCAGATTGAATAGTCAGTTAAATAAAAAATCGCAGTTGTGAAAAAGTTTTCAAAACTAATAAAAATTTACAGAAAAAGCTAAGATGTTCGTTTCAGTTTATTGTTTCATTTCATCTAAGATAGTACAATATATCAAAGTAGTCATAACCATCGTAATGGATCACATTTGCAGTCATTTGATTAGTTATTAGTGATGTAATAGTACAAAGAAAATCATGCGTGCTTTTCAAATTAGACAGAAACTCGATCATACGTTGTGATAAGGATATAAGGTTTTGGAGCTGCTCAAATCTAGATATGATATGTGTGTGTATGTGTGTAAAGATTGTCGCTATGCTTATAACACTATATGTGAACTTATTTCACATTTTATGCAAAACACAGAATTCACATCCTACTTGTATAATTCATTTTTGTCCAATATAATATATAATTCACTGAGAGAGGCCTGTGATTAAAAACAGGTATATGTACGCACCAAAAATAGGGACATTATACAGCCAAGACTAGTTGATACGGGCACTTAATGCATTTGCCCGAAACTTTGAACAAGTCCTCGATCAGCTTTCTCCCAAAAGATGCTCTGCTATGCCTCTTTTTTTGTAATGTCCAACTTGATGGACAGCTGAATACAAGCCATTCGGACTCATCACATACAATATATACTGAATTGATTAACGATTAAGCCTTTAATTTCCTCTCAAAATACAAAACCTTTTCCATGTGGAAGAAAAAATTTAACTCATATCATATCGTTATGTAAGGCGGAAGAGACGAACAAAAGGACGAAAATGCAATCATGACGAAGCTTTTACAGTCTCGTCTCGTCCTACGAATTAAGGTTACAAGGCATGATGGAGAATAAGGGATTGGGGTCAATTTTATGGGACTAAGCTCTAAAGTCATCGGAGTGTCAGAAATTTTTGAAATGTCATTTCGAAGTACATTTTCAGAGCACGTGTGTGGACTGATACGTGGCTTCTTCTTTCGTCAATTCCTCTGATGACTCACCTAATAGCAATGGCAATGGGCTCCACATCTTCTGTTCTCAGCTGCTCTGCGTCGTCCTTTATTTCTTCCTTCAAGACAGGTGCCTTTTTCCCCGGACATCAAAACACAAGGATCCGCGAACCCCGATTTTAATTTCCGAAGCTGATCATAATGGAAATCTTTTGTTCGGCGTTATCAAGTTCAACTCGAAACAATCCATTCTTCGCGCACACTGTGGTCATGGTTGCTAATTGTAGGCAACTTTTAAGAATGTGAGGTGACTTAATTTTTTTTGAATATTTTAAATTCAACGTGTGATTTTTTATGATTATTAACTTATTTAGATTTAAATTTTACATTCTAAAATTTATTTAACTTTCTATGTAATATTCAACATAAAAAAGTTAATATACACATTAGACACACACGGCTTGATGACAGGTAAATCAGTAGCCTTATTTTTGTGTTTAGATCGACTTTTTTTTTTTGCCATCGTTTGGATCTGCTACTCGATAAATTAGTAAGATCCTAAATCACTGCTATTTCTCCTGTATTTGTGCAATGGTTCAAGTTAAGTAGCGATCGACAAACTGGTGAATCATAATTAACAGGGGTATAACCAGCGAAAAAACTAGTGTTGGGTGCCTTGGTCTTGCTATAGCAACGTTAAAGTAA